ATGCTCATTGGCGAAAGCCAGGTGAAAGATACCAAAAATTAGGGACAAAGAATTAATATACATTCTAATGATCCCATCACACATTGGATTACTCCTTCATGATAAAGTTGATATGTTACCAAGAAAGGTACCCAGAAGGAGAATGGTAGAATATAACTTTGTAATAACTGTGTCTAGCATTAGGTAATAATATTAGAGAGAATAAATAATGAAAATGTATTTGTTATAGGAATGCAGTTAAAGCCTAGGTTAGATCGTGATCCCTAGTGATAACAAACATAGATAATATGTTTTATGAGCAAATCTTGCAATGTGAACAGACTGACCTGATGTTTGTATAGGCCAGCTTAGCTTGTTACAATACTTCTGGCAGTTTGGAGACACACAGATATGATCAAACAAATGTAAATTAAGTGATCCTGCCATATGGTCACATCTCTTGAACACTATGTGCTTATTGTCCCACATATTGAGGAACACAGAGACAGACAGTATAATAACCTATGTGACATGCCAAGATATCATATTAATGAAAATAAGATACCAGATATACTAAGCCAATTCCTAAATTTGCTTGCAACAGATAAGTGAACTGTATATGTAGATAAAAATCCATATGTTTTCCTGTTTAACCCTTTGGGGCCTAGTTCCTCGGCCTTTATGTATCCATATGCTCTCGCGCTACGTCCAACATTTGATGATTGGGTGCACAATAAACTAGCCACTTCGTGGCAAAATCTAAAATCATTGAAATACTCATTGTGCTTAATTGTTACTGTTTACAATAATGTTTACCACTGAAATATATCATATGATTAGTTATAATCTTAAGTTAATCTTAACCTGCCCATAACCTCTGCATTCAAGGCTTTTGGCATGTTACACGAAACCACTGTATTTTTGTACTTCATTTATCATGCTCAAATAATAAATAAATAAAAAAATAAAATAAAATAATAAAATAAATATAATAAATAAATGTATTAAATACAATCACTGAGAAGTGATTTAAGAAAGATATACATACTGCAGCTTGCCAAGCAGTTATGAGGAAAAATATTTTAATCCCTGATTTCCACAGATCTACCAAAATCAGACTTTTTTTTTCTCAAAATTCTCTGCAACATCATCATTGCATACATTATTATTATTATTTGTTTTTAAGATACACCAGCCATCTCCACTAAGGTAGAGGTAATCCCCCAAAAAAAAAAAAGGAAGCACATTCACCATTATTCATTCAATAGCTGTCTTTCCAGAAATGCACAGATATCACAATTCAAATAACTCTCCCAAACGCACTTCACATTTCTAGGACCTCAATTGGATAACCAGTTTCCTTGAATCCCTTCGTAAATGTTACCTTGCTTATACTTCAACAGCATAAAAACCACTTGTTTCCACTCACTCTGATCTAACACACTCACACAAGCCTGCTGGGTGCTCAAGCTCCTAACACTCAAAAGCCTTCTCTACCTATGCACTCATACCTTTTATGGATGACTGCTACCCTCTTTCCAATCACCCCAGTTTTATTATTATTATTATTGTTACATATGATAATACAGTATTCTTGGAAAGTGTGCTTTATGATTGAATTCCACTGTTAGTATCATAAAATTATAATAAATTTTGAATAAATAAGGCACTGTCTTGGTAGTTCTACACCTTATTTGCTGGGAGGGATGTTGGTGGAGGCACTACAGGTCCTGGTTTCATTGTTTATTTATGCTATTTAGGCAGTGTCACCCTATGATGCACTGCATAGACTCACTTGGACTTAGATGTTATAAAAAGTGCATGAACAGGTTGAAGGAAACCCAAATCGATTAAGCTGAGGGTAAAAATATTGGTATGTAGTGTACATGAAGAAGTGAAAAACAATACCATACTAATACAAAATGAAACATGTCCTAGTCACCTTTGTACTAGTATTGTTAAAAAAAAAACATTGGTCACAGTAAAGAGTTAAAAAGTCAAAAGAGTTCCTGGTATTTACCTAGTGTCTATCATTTGGAATACTGAAATCTCAAAGAGGACAATGTTTGCAGGAATTCTAGGCATTATAGAGCAATTACGTATATCAATAATAAATTTTATGGTTGAAATTTTCTCTGTCGGGTTTGATGTTATTTTGTATAAGAGGATAATTACCAGTTTTTTTTTTTATTATTATTAATCACACTTTGCGCGTAATCCCACCAAGGCATGGTGGCCTCCAAAAGAAAAACTTTCACATTCTTCAATTCACGTCCATCACTGTCTTGCCAGAAGGGTGCTTAACCACTACAGTTTTTACACTGCACATCTAACTCCCCCTCCTTCAGAGTGCAAGGGCACTTACTTCCCTTCTCCAGACTCAAGTTCCGCCTGCCGATTTCCCTGAACCCCTCATAAATGTTTACTTTGCTCACACACCTCCTACAGCACGTCAAGTTACTAAAAACCATTTGTCTCCATCACTCCTATCAAACACGCTCACTGCATGCCTGCTGAAGTCCAAGCCCCCCACACATTACAAAATCCTCCTTTTACCCCCTCACTCAACCTTTCCTAGGCCGACCCCTACCCCCCGCCTTCCTTCCACTACAGACTGATACGCGACTCTTGAAGTCACTCCCTGGTTTCGTCTCCTTTCTCTCTACATGTTCGAACCAACCCTCAACTACCCTTCCTCAGCCCTCTGGACAAACATTTTGGTAATCCACGCACCTCCCTCCCTAACTGACTTCCAAACTATTCCCAAACATACAATTCTCTGCATTTAATCACACCCACACATTGCCTCAGACATGCAATCTCCACTGCCTCCAGCCTTCCTCCCTCCTGCAACATTCATCCCACCCAGTGCTTCACACCCATATAAGTGAGCGTTGGTAAACCAATACTCTCATACATTCCCCTCTTTTGCCTCCAAGGTACAAAGATCTTGTCTCCACAGACTCCTAAGTGCGACCACTCACCCTTTTTCCCTATCAATTCTATGATTCACCTCATCTTTCATAGACCCATCCGCTGACGACTTCCACTCCCAAATTCTGAATACATTCCCTCCTCCAAACCCTCCCCTCCAATCTGATAATCCAATCTTTCACACCTAATCCTTTGTTATCCCTCTAACCTAACTCTTCCGTATTCACGTTTTAATTTTCTTCTTTAGCATACCCTACAAATTCATAACCACAATCTCTGCAACTTCTCTCAGAAGCTCCAAAACACAGTGTCATCCAGGCAAAAACAACTGTGATAACTCCCACTTTATGTGTGATTCTTTATCTTTTAACATCCATGCCTCTTGCCAAGACCATGCGCTTTACTTCCTTACAACCACATCTATAAATATATTAAACACCCACGGTGACATCACACTGCCGGTCCTATGGCACTTTTTACTGGGAAATAAGTCCTCGTTTCCTACATACTCTAAACTTGAGCCCTCACTATCCTCGTAAAAACTTCACTAGCTTTCAGTACCTACCTCCTACACATACACCTGCAACATCTGCCACATTGCCCCCTATCCACCCTGTCATAGTCGCCCTTTTCCAAATCCATAAATGCCACAAATAGGCCTCTTTAGCCTTATCTAAATACTGTTCACTTATGTGTTTCACTGTAAACACCTGTCCACACACCCCCTACCTTTTCCTAAAGCCCTCCTTGTTGTACATCTGCTACCTATTCTCCGCTTACTCTTATTCTCTCAAAAATAACTCTACCATACACTTTACCAGGTACACTCAACAAACTTATCCCCCTATAATTTTTGCACACTCTTTTGTCCTTTGCCTTATTACAAAGGAACATGCATGCTCTCTGCCATATCCCTAGGTTACCTTACCCTCTCCATACATTTATTAAATAATTGGCACCAACCACTCCAAAACTATATCCCCACCTGCTTTTAACATTTCCTATCTTAGCCCATCAATCCCGGCTGCTTTACCCCCTTTCATTTTGCCTACTGCCTCACGAACTTCCCTTACCTCACAACTGGCTCTACCTCACTCCTTCAAGATGTTATTCCCCTCCTTGCCCTATAGCACAAAATCACAGCTTCCTATCTTCATCACATTTAACAATTCCTCAAAATATTCCTCCATCTTCCCAATACCTCCTGAACTCTCGCATTTAATAACTCTCCTGCTCTTACCCTAGATATTTAACTGACAAACCCAATTGTTCTCTATGCTTCCTTAACGATGTTAATCTCACTCACAAAACTTTTGTCTTATTTTCAACAAAATTTGTTGGATAACATCTCACCCACTCTCTCATTTGCTCTCTTTTTACATGCTTCACTCACTCTCTTTAACCTCTCATCTTTTTCTCCATAATGTACTCTTTCCCTCCTTTCACTCACTTCTACTATGTAAAAACGTCTCATATGCTAACTTTTTTCTCTCTGCTTTCCCTTCCCGCACTGCCACCTTCCTGTAACCACAAAACTTCTGCTGAACACTCCAACACTACATTTTTAAACCTACCCCATACCTCTTCGACCCCATTGCCTATGCTCTCATTAGCCCATCTATCCTCCAATAGCTGTTTTATATCTTACCCTAACTACCTTTATTCCAAGTATAGTACTTCTACCATATTATTATTTTTTTATAAATTGTGTGCAAATAAGTGAATATTTCACTTATGTGCAACTTATTTAGAAGAGGAAAGTTAAGAGGACAGGTACTACAGTGAGTGTTGAGTGGCCTGATTATAGTTTTTTGGTATCTCTCTTCCAGAATTTTCTTCTTACTAATACTTTACACACATACTGAAATATTCAGAATAATGGTGTTGCATTATACTGGCAAATTATTTAGGCACTTCATGCTAAATATTAACTGAAATGTTAAATACCATGTAAATTATTTTTTTTAATGCATGTACACAAGTGCATGATTAAGCATACCCAAAAGTATTACAATTAATGAAAGTTCCTAAAACATTAGTGAACGAAAAATATATTACTAGTTCAGTAGTTTGACTTTTTAACTTACGTCTTTTTTTTCAAGGCTTTGGGTGTTGGTAAATTAGCAACCCGATGTGCTCTAAGCTTTTCCCAGTTAAGAGCATCATGACGATGCTTAAGGAGCTTATTCTTTTCATGATTTTTTTGTAGCTGTTGCTGCTTGTGCACTTCTCTATCTTCTTCGCTTCATCCACCACGCCTTGACAGCATATTCATGGTATGCATGACACGTTGAGCTACAAAATACAAATCCAAACCGGCAAACCCAAACATAACCTAATCTAACCCCAAAAAACCTTGTATAAGGTGCAAAAAAAAAAGATACCAAACTTCAATAAAGAAGAGAAAACTCTCAGTTTTATATAACACAAATGACCAAGAGCCACAATGTGTAACTAAGGACAATGATAATGTCCATAAATATCAGAAAGATTCCTTCACAGACAGACAGTTACATTAAGTAAAATGGCTCCACCAAACCTCCAATGGCACTCTGCCCAAATTACACTGAGAAAAATCCTCTACTTTCAACCTGTCCATTTTATGTTTATTACACTAGAACACCATACGTAATAGGAATCAACCAATTATTTTCAGTAAAATACATTATATATGTCTACGTATGTGAAAAAATTTCTATTTATATCATTAATTACCTGTTACTAGAAGTTCATGACCTTGCAAGAGCCTGCAGGATTCCATATATTCCTTTTGCGCTCCTGTACCTGATTCCTTTCTCTGCTTTCCACTGTTGTAAAAGTCCTGTCTTAAATCTTTGATCATCTGTGACTTTTACCATGCACGATATTCACGAATACGCTGGCTTCTCTTTTGCCTGCTCCCGTACCTTGATAAATTAAAACAGAAATTATTGCATGACTACATCTACTGAACATGTAGGAGCTATCCTAAACTGAAATAAAGTGACATTTAATCTACCCTGTGGCCAGGTAGCACACTCTCGCTTTCACACACAATTCTGGTGGATCAATCCACATCAAAGGTGAAACCATTGGGCATGTTTTTCTTAACACATTTGTCCCATTTACCTAGCAGTACGTACCGGTATGGGTCGCATCGTTTGGGTACAATAGATTTAAGGAAACCAATAGAAATAAGACAGACTGTCCTTGATGAAGCACTGCGACTTTCTTGGGTTTATCTTGGGTGGCTAACCATTCGGGTTAAAAATCCAAACAAAAACTTATGTCTATCGCCCTTTCTCACTACCTATATTCTTTCTAGACACCTTCTCCTAATATTTACTTATATTTTACCCTAACCTCCTCCTATAATTTATAACCTTCACCTCTCTCTTACTGATGACCATTCTCCTTACACCCAATCTACCTCTTAGTTCTCACTGTAGCTACCACTAAATAATGATCTATATACTGTAAATGGCCTGCCTTCTAACACACACAACATTCCATAATCAACCCATCAACCTTTTATCTAACTAACACAAAGTCATCAAAACTGCATTGTATCAATGCACTATACTGTATCTATTTTATTTATCTTTTTGAGGGTGAATACATATTACCTAATAGCAAACCTCTTCATTACTAGCTCAATTGAGCCTCTATTATTATTTACACCAGGCACTTCCAACTTACATACCAGACCCTCTAAAAACGTTTACCCGTCGCCCACAACACAAACATATAACTGTTGATTTCAGGCCATCTATTGTTACACAATTCTTCTCCTGCAGATATTTTCTTCTAAGTTTTACAAATCTATGTTCATGAATTACAAACGTTGAAGATTATTTGTCTAATAATGGTATGTAATGATTCACTAACTGTGGTAGGATATTCAATATGAAGCACTGACATGACATTTGCCATGATAATGTACAACTTACATGCTAACAACTCTTATGTACTGTATGTCTATATTTGTGTAAGTATGCATTAGAAATATGAATAATGTTTATGTATATGTATGAAAACAGCAGCACACATACACACACACACACACACACACATATTTAAATATATATAATATATTATATATATAAATCTATATAAATATATATATATATATATATATATACATACAGAGGGCCCCGCTTTACGGCGTTCCGCTTTACGGCGTTTCCGCTAATACGGACATTTCAAATTATGACAAAACTCACTATAACGGCTCCCCCCCCCTGACTTTCAAATACGGTCACCGTGCCACCCTGTTTGTTTACGGATGGTGCTCCATGAGCTCAGTAAGCAACTAAGTCTCCATTTGTCTGGAAACTCCAAAATTTCAAATTTTTTTAAAAGTTATTTCATATTTTATATTATACTCTGATTAATTATACTTATTGTATACCTGTACCTAAAAAACTTACAATACATCGAGTCATTTAAATGTCGTATATACTTAATATACACATTTTCATTAATCCATCCATGATATTTTTTCCAAATTAATATAATAAACACATTCATAACATATAAATAAGATAAATACACCCACGTAAGAATAAATAAACAAATGTGAATTGTGAGTCCGACGACTTCACAAGTGGTGAATAATAACAATACAAGTCTCATTAAATGTCGTATATTACGGTCATATACACATTTTCATTAATCCATCCCATGATATTTTTTTCAAAATTATATAATAAACACGATGCCATAACATATAAATAGATAAATACACCCACAGTAAATAAATAAACAAATGTGAATGTGAGCAGAGCGACCTTTTGCACAAGTGGTGATAATAACAATACTGATCTCATTAAATGTCGTATTTACGGTAATAACACAATTTTCATTAATCCATCCATGATATTTTTTTCAAAATTATATAATAAACACGATGCATAACATATAAATAAGATAATACACCCCACTGTAGAATACATGCAAACAAATGTGAGATGTCGTAGCAGACGACTTGCACAGTGGTTATAATAACAATACTGAGTCTCATTAATGTCGTATATTACGGTAATATACACATTTCATTTATCCATCCATGATATTTTTTCCAAATTATATAATAAACACGATTACATACATAAAAAGATGATAAACAACACCCCACATAAATAAATAAACATAAATATAAGATGTGGGGAGCCACATAACTTGTACAAGTGACGGCAAGAATTAACATTTTCTCTAATCTAACATAAGGAGTAAATGTGTAGACTGGGGGGTAACTGTCGAAAAATTATTCCTTTCGTATGTATGTAAGTAGGTTTATCAGTTACACAAATACAGTTCATATATTACATAACATAACTACTACGAGTGAGAACCTAGGAATAACCCAAAAAAGTCGTGTGACTTATTCCATTGCCTTCACTCAGAGCTTAATTTCTTCTCAAAATGATGTTACATGAGAATGGAGTGTTCTTTTTATTAATTCTAAGCCGTATCAATGGTATAGACAACCTTGTACACAATGTAACTTGTACACAAACCAAGACGTGTACATTTCGTTTGTTTACAAAATTACCTCCGCTGGTTTGTTTACATAACTGCGCTGCCCCCACTCATGGTACTCATTCTCTCTCTCTCTCTTTATTCGTTTTATCTCTATTTTTACTGTACTCTGTACCCTACATAAGACCTACAAATATTTTAAGTAAGTAATGAGTGAACTGTATATACATTTTATCGCTTCTGGGATGCTTAAATAAATCATAGAATAGTATGTGTGGGTGGGTTGGCCTGGTGAGGCTATTACATACATACCACCACTTGATTTCTGTACCATATACTACTTTGTCTCACCCTAGATTTAAGACTATAAATATATTTAGGTAAGTAAATGAGTGCACAATGTGTGTATTGTACCTTTTTATTTGTTTTTTGAATGCCTGGTTCTAATTGCTAACTTAATATATGTTAGTGTAAACTGTTAACTAGTGTTTGTATCATTATAATTGGAAAAAAAGGGTGTTCCACTTTACGGCGATTTCCGCTTACGGCGGTACCTGTAACCTAACCCGCCGTATAAGTGGGCCCTACTGTATAATATATGATAACAGTGGACCCCCCGCATAGCGATTATTAATCCGTGCAAGAGGGCTCATTGTTATGCGAAATGATCGGTATGCGAATGAATTTTTCCCCATAAGAAATAATGGAAATCAATTAATCCGTGCAGACACCCAAAAGTATGAAAAAAAAAATTTAAAGCCACAAGAAATGTTTAATTTTAATACACACAAACGAAAAACATGCACATTACATGACACATACTTTTATTGAAGATCTGGTGATGATTGAGGATGGGAGGAGGGGAGAGAGAGTGTTAGTGGTTTAGAAGGGGAATCCCCTTCCATTAAGACTTGAGGTGTCCGATCTTTTCTGGGTTACTTCTCCTTCTTCATTTTTAATGCCACTAGGACCAGTTCAGAGTCACCTGGACTTCTTTCGCACAACATATCTGTCCATAGTGGCCTGACACCTCTCGTTCCTTTATGACTTTTCCCTAATGTTTTCACAACATTGTCCAGTGTAATAATCACCAGCCAGCTTGCAATAGCTAGTGTGAGGTGATTCTCATCCATAAAGGTTGCACTTTTCCAGCACATTGCAACAGATTTCCTTAATCATTGAAGTAGGCAACTGCTTCAATACTCTCCCCCTCCTCTGAAACCAGTTTCCTCAGGTATTGCCTCGTGCGGTGAAGTTGATCTAGCAGCTCATCATGGTTAGTTTTTTCTTCCATGTCCTCCTCCACCAAACTCTTCCACAATCCTCCCCACTAACCTCCACCCCAAGGACCTTTCCCAATGCCCACAATGGATCCTCAACTGGCATAATTCTCTCAGGGTAGCCGTTCCAAACCCCTTCAAAATCCCCTTTTGTCACACATTCTGGCCACAGTTTCTTCCAAGTCAGAGTTCAAGGTCTCTTAGTCACTCCCTCCCAAGCCTTACCTATAAGGTTTTTACAACAATTGAGGATATTAAAGTGCTCTCTCCAAAACTCTCTTAGAGTCATTTGATTCTAGGTCACTACAAAGCCACCTTTCAAAATCAGAGCTTTTTTGTACAGTTTTTTGAAGTTTGCAATAAAACCTGCTGTCCATGGGCTGCAGAGAGGAGTGGTATTAGGAGGCAAAATGTCAATCATTAATGAAGCTCATGTCCCCACAAAGTCGCTCTGCCAGTCTTTAGATGTGACCAGGGTCATTTCTAACAACCAGAGGCACTTAAGGTCTAAATTTATTTTCAGTTAGGTAATTTTTCACAGTGGGGGCAAATGCTTGGTGTAACCAGTCATAGAAAAAGTGCCTAGTGATTGCCATGCCTATTGTTGCCATCCACAGCACACACAAATTACCTTGAGGATATCTTTTGCCTGAACGCCTGGAGTTCAAGAGTGATACACTAATAAAGGCTTCACTTGCAATCCCACTACAATTGGCACACATGAGAAAGAGTCAAGCCTGTCTTTCATAGGCTTATGTCCCTGGGATGTGGCCTTTTCCTCCTGAGTAATGTAGGTCCTGCTTGCATTTTCTTCCAAAAACACCAGGCCTGTTTTCATCACAAATTAAACACTTGTTCAGTTTCAGTCCTACACTGTCTATTACCGCCTGAGATTCCTGCACATAGTTTTTTCAGCTGCTTTGTGGTCCGAACTGGCAGCCTCACCATGCCCTTACACACTATGTACAATGCACTACGCTTCTTAAATCTCTCAAACCAACCTTTTGCTGGCCTTAAATTCACTCACATCATCACTATTGCAGCATTTTTTTTAATTAAATCCTCATGCAACTTCCTAGCCTTTTCGTCAAAGTGTATTATGATCGCTTGAGGGACGC